ACACGGATGTCTCTCCATTTGGCTTAAAACCTGTTTAAGGAGTCTCCCACTTTGGGTTGGGCAGGAAAGAGGGAATGCTGTTACATTGTAAGGACTGCAATCAATGTTATGAAGCAAAAATGTGCATGAACTATTGATTGGAAAATAGATTCACTTTGTAAATTTTCACTGAAATCACAAAAAACTTAAAAGCAAACAATTTAAAATAAAAACAGCTATTTAGGACCAAGAAAAATTTAGCATAGCAAAACAGAGATTTGTTGTCAAGAGTTGAGCTTAAACATCACTCCAACCAGTTACAATTTTGGAGTCTATGAGCAAATCCTGACTCTTAGTCTTCACCTGTAAATTAGAGCTATAATTATTGAGCAGTTGATATTTAATTAACCATAGCCATTCTTTAGAACTACTTAAAATATCAATTGCCCAGGCATTTCCCCTTTTTTGTAGTCCAAAGGGTTCATTGGTAGAATACAAGGAGGTACCCCCAAAAAACCAGAATTGTGCTGGGCAAAGGGAGCTTTCTTACGCATTTTTCCCCACGAGGAATTGAGCAACTCACTCTGAGTTAGTGCACCCAGTGGCATCGCCTAGGAAGGTTTTCTCTGGTCAGTGAATTATTTCATAAAGCAGTTTCGCTTTAACCTTATTTTGCGATGGTGCCGATTTAAGAGAACAGCATGCAGCTGTGAATTTTTGTTTCCTGCAGGGAAAAATGCTGCAGAAACTGTTGTGATGTTGAACACAGCTTACAAGTACAGCACTATGGGAAAATCTCAAGTGTACAAAAAAGGTGAAAAGTTGATTGATGACAAACCTCATTCTGGATGTCTGGTCAACTTCCCAAACGGACGACAATGTCAACTCATAGTGCATTTGGAGCTCTTTCCACCAGGTTAGACTGTTAATCAAGCTTTCTATTTAGAGGTTTTGAAGATTGTGTAAGTGTGACAAAAAAGGCCTGAATTGTGGCAGGCAGGTAGACTGGTTTTACCACCAAGACAATGCACCTCTCACTCAGCCATCTCAGTGTGCCAGTTTTGGACAAAAACAGCATGCTTCTCATGCCCCACACACCTTACTCAACTGACCTTGCTTGTTTCCTCAAATGAAGAGGGACATGATAGGACAGTGATGACAATGTACAAGAGGTGAAGAAAGAAGAAAGGGAGGTGCTGTCAGCCGTCAAACAGATGAGTTTGGAAAATGTTTCCAAGAATGGAGTAGCAGATTTGACAAATGTATTAATGTAATGCAGAGTACTTTGAAGGTTTTGTACAAAAATTTTAATACATAGCTTTGAAAAAAAATTGTTTTCCGGGGGAGGGGATTTACCCCCTCATATACTGTTCCTAAGACCCACAGCAGGAGCCTTGGTGGTGCAGTGGTTACACACTGGGCTGCTAATCACAGAATCAGCAGTTGGAACCACCAGCGGCTTTGCCAGACAAAGAGGAAGCATTCTACTTCCTTCCGTAAGTCAGTCCTGGTGACAGAAAGGGTCACAAGGAGGAGCCAGTCGGGGTGCAGTGTAGCACCAATGAAAGATACAACTTTCCTCTAGTTCTTTACTGCTCGCCCCGCCAACTATCATGACCTCAATTCTACCTTACAAATCCAGCTAGACCACCAGAGCATGCACACTGGTACAGATAAGAGCTGGAAACACAGGGAATCCAGGACAGATAAACCTCTTAGGACCAATATTGAGAGTAGCAATACCAGGAGGATAAGAAAAAGTGCAGGGGAGGGGGGCAGGGGGCAGGACTGATCACAATGATCTACCAATAACCCCCTCCCTGGGGGACGGACAACAGAAAAGTGAGTGAAGGGAAACATGAAAACATAATGTATCAAGGGTTCATCAGGGAGGGACGGTGGGGGAGAGAGGAGGAAAAAATGAGGAGCTGATATCAAGGGCTCAAGTAGAAAGAAAATGTTTTGAAAATGATGATGGCAACAAATGTACAAATGTCTTGACACAATGGATGTATGTATTAAGAGCTGTATGAGCCCCCAATAAAATGATTTTATTTTAAAAAATAAACTATATGATTTTTAGAAATTATTAAAATATAATAGGTGGGGAAGCAAAAAATAAAATTGAAAAAGTAAATAGTCCTGGAAACTCACGAGGGCAGTTTGTCTGTTCTAGAAGGTTGCCACGTCAGAATTGTCTTGATGGTGTTGAGTTAGATTGGGAGCTTAAGCCCACGAGCAAAACCGTATTCCAGCTCATCCACGCCAGGGTCGATTCCAAGCAAACTGGGTCTAGACACAGCTCCGCAGCAGTGGATGCTGCAGACATGCTCTCAGGAACACTTGTTGCAAAAAACAAACAAAAAGGTCCAATCACAACATGGCTTCTGAGGTCATCTGCTTGGCCAGTTCCATTCTGCTAGGGCAGAGGTCAGCTCTGGGTATAGTGACTGTTTTCCTGAGATTCCAGTGGGATAACCTGGATAGATCTTTCTGCACAGGACAATCAGAAGGACTTAGTAAGAAGTTTCAAGGATATGGAAAACTGCAATGGTGAGAAAAAAGGCCAGGGAAATTGCACCAAGGAATTCTTTGGCAAGAGAATGCACCTGCTGTTTCTAAGGGTCCCAAGAGCTGTTCTGAGAACTTCCTGGGAAACAACCCCACTCACCCACAGCCCTGATGTTACCCCTCCAGACTTTTGTTACTTAAACAAACCTTTAGAGGAGCCCTGAAAGGAACACGGTTTGAGTTCCCGGCCACCACAACTGTTTTAGGGTGTTAGCGCAGAATGATTGGGAAAAGGTCCTAGAGACAGAAACACGGCCTCCAAGTGCTTAGACCTTGATGAAAGATTTGATGAGAAACAATAGCTTCACATTTTGCTATTTCTATCTACTAAAAGTTTTTGTGCTTTGTATAAATGCTTTTATCCGTGTCTCACCCTTGATACCTCTCATAGTAAAAACATTCTGCCAGTTAAATGCATTTTCTAAAGACTAAGCAGTAGGCCCTTTAAAAAACTGAGATAACCCCAAAGTGGAGACTCAATCTTGCTGCATCTCCGGAACAGGATTTTACCATCATTATGAAGGTCTGAGCAGTCTACATACACCCCTCTCAATGCCCATTACTGACCATTACATGATTAGGGAAAATTAAATTAGGGCCATTACTTACCATTACATGATTAGGGAAAATTAAGTCCATTTTGCCATTTTTCTTTTTCCCCAAAGCTGCTTTTGGCCAAGACTAATATACACCTTTACCATTAATGAAAAACATGAAACAGCTCTATCATTTTGGTAAAATAAAAAAGCGTAGTTTCAAAAGCTATCCAGATTTCATCAGAAAGAAAAACCTGTGTGTGGCTCTCACACGAGTATCTTACCATGCTTTTCAAAAGTGTATTTTCAAAGCGTTGTCCCCCAACATGCTTTGGTTTATATACTCTAGAAGAGTATATTCAAACAGAAAAAGACGTCCTCTATTTAATGGCAACTTAGTATTTCATATTTCCCCCAGTGAAATATTTCTTTCAAATTTCATTCACCCCACGCAGCGAGGTGCCAAGGGCTCTGGGTAGGGCCGCAGCCCAACCTGGCACCCTGCGTGCTTTTTGTTTGAAGGCTTTAGGTGTGGCTGCGTCGGAAAGGGAATATACACATATAAAAGTGAAAAGAACTTCCTAACATGGTACTACTGGTCAGTCAGCGACAGCTTTATTTACAAGTTTGAATTGTTAAATATGTCTAAAGTGCATTCTTACAGCTAATCAATAGCAGCATTTGTTTTGTTTAAAAACCTTAAAAGAAATACTCAGGTCAGTGCTGGGTAAGTCCCAGGAAATAAATCATGATCTAGATATAATCCTTAATCACCCGAGACAAACAAACACTTGCATGAATTAGTTTATATGCATATAAGAAATATACCAAAAAGAATAGCATTATAAAACAGTTCATACGGCAATGAGCAAAGGGCGTCTCTCTGCTATTAATATTAAATATGACAGGGTATATAATATAAACAGGGTGCTGAGTGGCAGGCGTCTTTGGAACCAGTGGGAGGCTTTCCTTTCAGCCGTGTTTCTATATAATTCATCCCAGGGCTGTGATGCTCAGCAAAGCTAGAGTTTGACACAGTGGCTCAAAGGGTGCTTTCTGGCGTGACTGTGAAGAAACCATCAACGACCGTTCTTTGATTTCTGGGGCTGTGTCAGCTTATGGCTTCTTGCGCCTAAAACATAGAAACCCGCCTTTAGTGATAATCAATGCAATGAGTGACACATTCATCAAACTGTCTTTAGGAGAGCTTTGGGAACCTGTTTTATCAGAGGAAAACTCGATTTCTCCTGAGAGCATGTAATATATGCTTATCTTAGCATTCAATGTAGAAAACAGGATTGCATATCTCTGTCCACCCCGCTTTGAGACTTTTCCACATTACGTGAGGAATACATATGTTAAAAGGGAAGCAGACGGAATGGGCTTGCATAGCATACTTGAAAAGATGGGGTTTTACTAAACTATGAGAAAAGGGGCCAGACTCCTCAGTGCGTTTAATAAAGACAAACAACCAGACTCACTGCCAATGAGTTGATTCCATCTCATAGTGACACTGTGTAGGGTTTTCCGAGAGTTTAAAATCTGTGACTCCTTTGCCTATCTTAAGTTCTACTATTCAGACTTACTTTATTGGACATCTTTACCTCTAAGAACAGGAGAAAATATTAGAGGGAAATCTCCATTCTTTTGGAGAATGAATGATACTTTTTACAGGCTATTTTGTGCTTCGAAAAAAGCAACTAAGAGAGTAAGACCAAGAAGCAAATCAGGGAAGAAAGAATTACACTAATTCCTCACTAATGCCCTTGACAGGCCATCTCAGCGCAGCCTCTTTCAGGTACGGGCAACGTCCCGTCACTCCCTGTCTGCGCTGACTGCTCTGCATACTTTCACCCAGTCTTGCTGGGCTCTCAGCACTCTGCTTGTCTCCACCATCTTCCCAGCGATCCCCAAACTAACTCACTGCCAGCCAGTCAGTACTGGCATAGTGACCCCCCTGTGGGTTTCAGAGCGTGTAGTTGTGCATGGGAAAGCCCAGCCTTTCTCCCAAGGAGCTGCTAGTCATTCCAACTTCAGACCCTGCGGATGGATCGTAACCACACGACCAGGGCTCCTTCAGCGATCCCAAGGAGAAACCAAAACCAGTTTCCTCTTCACAACAGGCGGCTGGCAGGAGCCACTCACTTGGGTTGTGCGTGATGCTGGTATCCAGGCCCCAGTTGTGATCCAGCTCTCATCTCCACAGCCACGGAACACTGACAGCAAAGACCAGAACAGGCTCAGTCAGGGGGAAGCCCAGCACCTCTTTTCAAGTTCAAATGCCAGCCAGACACAATGTATTTCAGACCAAGGCCACATCCCAGGACATCCCTCATTTCAAGTAGATGGAAGAGGAGTTAAGAAGGCCTGGACCTTCGCTTCCTGGCCCCCATCTTCTCCTGTTCTCTGCATACAGCATCACCAAGGGAACCCCTGGCACACTGCTTCTGACAATTCCCATCAACTTCATGCGAATTCTTGTTACCCGAGAGCCTAAGTTCCCGAAGCCTACTGCCCTTTACCAGAAAAAATTACTCAGCGCCCCACCCGGCTGGCAATTAAGAAAACCCAAATAACTCTTGTACTGTAGCCCCTCATAATCCAGGACAGAGTGTAGAAATCTGCTTTTGCAGAGGCCTGGATTGTTCCAGCACCCGCGGCCCTCTGGGCATGGTGTCCCTTACTTTGGGAAATAATGTTCCAGGCTGCTAGTCTCTGACCCCAATCTATGGCCCAGAGGGGCTCTGTGCTCCAGTGTGCCCAGACCTAAACAAATGCATGGTACCTTTTCCCAAATTTGCTATGAAATGAGCCTATAGGCTGGGCTAGCTCCTGGGGATCAAAGCACTTAACAAGGTTAGCTGGAGGGTTTTAAAACATGGCACCGCTCATTGTTATTAAGCAAATATTTAATTGTTCACCCCTACCCTTGTTTCTACATCGGTCCATTCACACTCTGTACCATCTGGTTGGGCAGGAGCGGCCGTGGAAGATCTCCGTTTCCGATTACTGTAAAAGGGGAAACCATCACTTTTGCAACTAAGAACAGGGAAAATAGGATCAAAATAAATAATAAAAACAGAAACAGGGAAATAGCATCGCCACTCCTTTGGAGGGAAGGAAAGCAAACTTAAACAGTATTCTGTGCCTCCAGAAAGGGTAGCTCTGAAGAGAACAAGAAGCCGCCAAATGACAGCTTGATGACCACTCACCCGGTTGGTGATTCCTGCTTTAGAGTCTCAATCTCAGTAAACTGAACAGCCTGTCCACCGCCCCGTGTTTTATACACATCACCCTACAGCCAAGAGAGAAGGTCACGGTCACACTCGCAGACATCCAGACAAGCAACATGCATGTATCTTAAGACAAATTGATCCCAAGATTCTGTTTTATAGAAACTCCCACCCACAAAACCAGATGGCCCTTGGGACCACTGAGGCTGTACTATTAAAGTGTTAGAAATTTAAGTATGTATCTCTTACTAAACAAAATAAATCAATATAATCGGTAGCGTTCATACTTGGTTTTGGGGGGGGGGGGTTTTCCTTTTAGATCAGCCTCTAATTAAAATGCAAACCCACTAAGATTTTAAAGCCTACCTGGAATGTCTAAAGTACTGTGGTGTGGTCCTTTCTTTTAAAGGGCACAGCATCCCTACATTCCAGTGGCAGTACCGCCATTAGGACTATCCTCTACGCTGAATTTGAAATGAAAATCTTTGTTCCCCCCAGTTAGTATTTCACGCCCCCGATTATTCAATGCCTTCAAGAGAAAACCCCAGTAGACAGACAAGTCTCCTTCTGGGAGGGGGCTCAGTGAGGGGTCCTTTTGATAAGTCAAATATTGCTCTGCTTTTTGTGAACTGACAGATAGTAACATTGGCTCTTTGTTCAGGTTTGCTTTCGAGAAGGGTTGAAACTAAATAGATAGCAATCCAAGAACCAGTTCCCTAGAGATCTAGCAGGAGTTCCTCTAACAGACCCGAGGACCTGGCTCTCATCCCGCTGCGTTAGCCCGTATAGCAGGTTTCCAGCTTGGGCGTTGGTTTACCAGCTCCACTGGCTCCCCATTAAGAAAGCCCCCATTGTATTGCCCACGTGCCAACGTCAGAACAGCAGGACAAATGCGCTTGTGGCTTCCGTGCTGCTGACGTTTCCCTCCTGTGTGCGCTTGTTTTTACCTTAATGAGCTTAGTCTCAATCTCCCCATCGGAGGCTAGTTCCTGGTGGGTCAGCATGTACTTCTCACACTTAGCTAGAGCCTTCTCATTGGCAACCGAGACTGTGATGGCATGAGGGACATGTGGCTGCATGACTGTCTCGGTCTGCACGTTAGAGGCGGGCTTATGATCTACCCATCTGTCCCCTGCAGAGCGTGATCGTCTGTGCCGGGCGCGAATTGGTGGTGCGTTCTGATCAGATTGAAAGAGGAATCAAGAAACAAGCACAGCCCAGAATTAATTTACATGAATGATTAGAAGTGCAGCAGACGTGACTACATCAATCGATGACAATGTCAAAACAAATGCACAAGTCTTTAAAAGCTAAACATGCTACTCCGGTCATTTAAATGCTTCCTTTGTATTTAATCAGAACACCGTTTTAATATTGGTTTGTATTTTATATGAGGGTGCTTCAAAAAGTCAATGGGAAAAAGCCCACTATCTTCTAATCCCATTTCCCCACAAACTTCTTGAAGCCCCTTCATGTACATATCAAGATGTCCTTTCAGCAAAGTCTAGGAGGCATTCTGGCACCGCCCCCAGGCTCTCTGCTTAGGTGATGTGCAGACAGTATTCTCCTTTTGCAGCCCAGTCAAAACCCAGCACTTGTGCCTGTTCTTGGTAAGTGACCTGCTAGGTCCAGAGCTCTTCTGAAGCTCTAAGGAGCTCAAGAGCAGCCCTCAGCTTCTCACAGGCCTCTCTCCCCGAGCGACACAACGACAGTCCTATACAAGGCAGGTAGGGAAGAGCACAAGCTGATGAAGCCACATAGTACAACTGCAAGTGAGCGTAAGACACCCGAGGGGGCTGTAACACAAACTTGTGGGAAAATGGAATTGACAGATAATGGAATTTTCCCCATGAACTTTTTGAAATGTCCTCATATTAAAAATTCAATGTATCAAACCAGAGTACTTGTTAGGTCTCAGCATCTCAAAACAGAACTCCGTTAAAAGTTCAAAACACAATAATGGCTGAAACAGAACAACTAGTTCTTTTCACTGAAACATCTCATAAAGGCTCCAAGATCCCAACCAAGGAGCTAGTGCATCAGTCTATGTCACGCCACAAATCCCCAAGCTGCTTCCCATCAAACGCCATGTGACTAAGGAA